GCAAAATGCCGGACATTGGTGGCGTCGCATTATTAAAACCCTACAAATTTAAAACCCATTGAAAATAATGAGATGCTGTTAAATTATTAAATTGAGTTTATAATAATTGTGAAAATCCTAACATTTAATGTGAGTGAGCTTCTATACGGATACTTCTTCAACACTAGTGAGTTATTTCTACCTAACTCCCATGTTCCGATGACTTTTGATACACATTCCCAATCTCTCAATGGACGTTCTGTTTGATTTGGAATATAAATTATCTTTCATTAGGCATCAATAATGGAGATAATAAGGATTTATATATTAATTACCCAAGTCTAAATCATTGATAAATTCAAACAAAGTCCACGCATCAGCATCCGTAATCGCATTATTGCTGCGGAAAAAGGTCAATACGTCTAAGGCTGTCATGCCTGATGATAGTTGAATCGCTTTAAACTCACGGGCTTCTTCAAAATAAACCTTGGTAGTGAGCTAAAAGTACAATGAGGTTCATCAAATTAAATACTTTTGGACAAATTGATAATGCAAATGAAGATACCATTCTTACCATGACTTCTGTGATCTGATGTTCCATTTTTTCGTGATGTGTCTCGTGTTTCGTCTGTGAAGAGTACTCATGTTAGCATTCAATGCAATTACAATATTATAAGATAATTATTTGATTTACCGTATCGCGCCTAACTAGTGTACTTCTTTCTCTTTCTTTTTCCTCCATCAGCAGTTCATATTCCTTGTCACGTGATTTAGATCTACCTCTTTCATCGCGATCTCTTGTCCTTGACCTTCCGCGTCCTTTTTCTTCCGGTTCTCGGGTCCTCGATTTTCCGCGCCCTCTTTCTTCCGGTTCTCGGGTCCTCGATTTTCCGCGCCCTCTTTCTTCCGGCTCTCGGGTCCTGGATTTTCCGCGCCCTCTTTCTTCCGGTTCTCGGGTCCTGGATTTTCCGCGCCCTCTTTCTTCCGGTTCTCGGGTTCTAGATTTGGCACGCCCCCGTTCCTCAGTGTCCTGCTCGCGAGTATCAGACTTTCCGCGACCGCGATCTTCTTCATCCCGATCGATGCTTTTAACATTACGGCTCCTTCCTCGCTCTTCAAAATTCTCCTTATCTCGTGGCCGTGAAGTCTTATCTTTTTCAGTCAGTTTTTCGTATTCTTTATCCCTAGATTTAGACTTTATAGTGTCTCTTGACTCTAATTCTCTCGTTCTAGATTTTGCTCTTAACCTATCTTCTTTCACCTTTTCTTCTGACTTTTCATTTGATTTGTCATCCAAAGTCTTTTCCTTCGTTCTATCTTCCGAAGTTCTTTCCCGATCATCTATCATTTTTTCCCTTAACCTATCTTCCTGATTTCTCTCCCTTATTTTTTCGCTTTTCGTTTTATCATCCGCATTTTTTTC